TCTCTCTCTGCTTCATTTCTGTCACATGGTTAATAATTAATATTTAATAAGTGTTTATCGTACTGATTATATTGGTACCCTTTCGTTTGACCTTGTTTATTAAGTTACATATTTTACATATTATAAGAAGCACATATGGTCTGTCTTTTTTTTAAATATACTTTTTCAATTTTCGAATAGGATGTCGTGTATTTATTCCCCGAAGTTCGTTATTTTTCGTTCAAATACTTTCGATTCGTGTAGATGCTTTATATATATATATATATATATATATTGTTCGAATGTTCTTTTTATCCGAACACTTTCAGCTATACATTTAGCCATTTTCAAGGATTATATTTCAACTGTTAAAATAAGAAATAGTTTGAAGTATGTATGTTTTATAAAATGTTTTCATCTTCCAAAACACGGTCAGGATATTATGTCCATGTTCAAAGTTAATATTATTAAGTGTTGTTTTTTTGCTTTTATTAATAAGGCTTCCATTATTTTTAACCTTTTTTTTTTGCATGTAGATGATGCTATTATATTAGTGTTGTCAACAAGTATATTACGAATAGTGTCCGGTAGGTCTCCATGAATATTTAAATGAGATGTAATTGAGGCGTAGAGTGAGTCTGCGTTTCAAATATCTTGACCGTGTTATATTATTAGGATCCACTTGGATTATATACCGATATATATATATATATATATATATATATATATATATATATATATATATATATATATATATGCAATTGTATAATATTTATAAACATAGCATTTAGTTAAATATTTGTATCTAAAAAAAGAACGTATAAACATAAAAAATGTCTTAAAAATAATTGTTGTACCTTGTCCATTTCATAATACATATATATATATATATATATATATATATATATATATTTATATGTGTGTGTGTGGGTTTGTATATATATATATATATATATAAAGAAAAGAAAGAACAGTAAGATATATAATCCGGTGTTCTTATTGATATCTTTTTATTTTTATTTTTACAAAACAGTGCTTAATGTAAATTTACAGAGCATAAATATTATAAATTAACTGATTTAAAATATGGTTTTCTCGCCACACAGTAATAACCATCTATCAAAACTAAAGCTAAAAACTTCAAATTTAATTATATTATTAAATTAAAAGTATTAGTTCTGTTTCATCTTCAAACGAATTTTGGAATAACTTATTTTTAAATTTACTGAGTTTTAAGCGTAGATATAAATTCATAATTTTTTGTTTCCAATTATACAGAGAAATCCAATCATTTAGACAGGGGCGGTAGCGTGTTCTTTTTTATTAACTATTGTTGTATCAATTATGAGTTACGTTCGAAAAAGAGATTAAGTCTAGGGAGGGTAGGGGTGCATTTTTCAACGAATTTTGACATCCGTTAATTGCATGTCGTCTGTTTTTTATTATTAACGGCAATTTTTTTTTCCGGATTCTTTTCATACTTGTATTAAAGATTATACACACACACACACACACACGCACACACACGAACACACACACGAACACACACACACACACACGCACGCACGCACGCACACACACACACACACACACATATATATATATATATAAATATATGCATATATTTATCGACAAAGATACACTATACCTAGATAAAAATCGCATTTCCGTTATGGGAACTTCCGCTGGAAGTGCGGGAAAAGTTTTAAAAATAAAGATTAAAAAATTGAAATTAAAAGGAAAAGAAAAAAAAAATTAAATTTGAAATGACGTTGAAATACAATTGAAAATAAAAGCTTACACATTGAAACGAGAACCCAAAGTGACATCGACCAGAGGCTAAATTGTTCGACTTGTCGACGCCATTAAGATTGATAATAATCAAACTTTGTAGGGTAGATCACCCCCGGCACTATGAGTTAGTTGTAGGGTCACAAAGTAATTCCATAGACAAAAATAGAAAAAAACAATCGAAGAAAAATACTGAAAATTTTGCATTTGGAGTCATTCCTTACTCACTTTATATAACGGAACTCTATAAAGTATGAATCTTACAAGTTCGTCAAAAAGGGGGGGGAATTATTATTATTATTATTATTATTATTATTATTATTATTATCTTCTTTGATTTCTGGTGTTTACACATTTCTTTCCGGGTCCCGCCCAGGGACCTAAGGTTAGAGATGGCATCCTGACACTTTCCACTGACAAAAAAAAAATTACATAGATAAAGCCCTTTATAAAGTGTGGGCTATACTTGTCAGAACAATTTTTGTATCTCTTTGAGGCATGGACTTCCCGGAATCCCTTCAATTAGTCTACATCAAATTTTCCAACCAGTCCTAGGGCTCCAACTACAACAGGGATTGTTGATGTTCCCATATGGCACATTTTCGAGATTTCTATTTCAAGGTCCTTGTATTTTGACAGCTTTTTGAATATCTTCAAAGATACATTGCAGTTAGCAGGGACTGCCATATCAATAAGGAGGCACCGTTTTTTGTTTGTGGTCTTTAACAACATTATCTGGGCGGTTGGCTTTGATTGTTCTGTCAATGTGTATTGTGTAGTCCCATAGAAATGTAACAGGTCCTATCTCCGTAACCGGTTCTGGGTGGTGTTCATACCTGTTTCTTTCAGATTATTATTATTATTATTATTATTATTATTATTATTTCCTTTGATTTCTGGTGTATATACTCATCTCTTTCCGAGTCCCAACTAAAGACCTAACATCAGAAATGGGATTATGACATTTGTGATATCAACGAACAGTCGTTGCCACTTTTGTAATGTCAACGATTATTCGTTGTTACTTTCCTTTCCTAATGCTCGTTATAGTAGAGACTTTGTAATCGCAGATACAACTTGAGAAACGCCGTTGAACAACACTGGTGTCAGACACCTTCGAATATCACTCGCACTAATAGGACTTGCTCGATAATACTCTCTCGACAAGTAACCACCGAATAGGGATCCGAATTGGGAATAGCATAGTGAATAGTATAGATAATAGTGATCTGTATAGTAATAGAGGATAGAACAGAAATGGTGACCCGTATCGTAATAGAGGATAGACTAGAAAGGGTGTTCCATTAGACGCCACGCTAATTCCCATATATATATTTCCTTAACGATCACGTAATCTACTTATTCAAAATGGGATCGTCCGTGTTTGCTCACTGGCGATCTATATTCAAACTACAGTTTCAATAGCGACATTTTATTCTTATGTAACACAGTTTTAGAGAACCCCCTCCAAACAAAATAATAATAATAATAATAATAATAATAATTATTATTATTATTATTATTATTATTATTATTATTATTATTATCATCATCATTCGATTTCTGCTATGGACACACTACCTACCAAGTCTGCGGAAAGACCTAAGGCAGGTCGTGGTGTGTTGTTATGGCCACATTTCATGTTAATTTATTATTATTATTATTATTATTATTATTATTATTATTATTATTATTATTATTATTATTATTATTATTATTCTATAAACGTAGAAAAACATGCCACTTATAAATGTTCTATCCCGTTCATAACAGATGGTAAAATTATTATCTTTACACTAGCTTCATTTGGCTGGACGCAAAATATCTGCAAACAGAGATCAGTGCAATTAAAATTACATAAATACGCTTAGAGCATCTTTCCGAGCTAATCAATGTTTAATTATTAAATATAGAACATTTACAGTGAAACAATACTTAAGAATCATTTATAGATCATTATTGTCATTTTTTATTAATTGGGCTCCAATTAAGCAACCTTTTGCTCCACCTTTTATCTTTTCTTCTCTCTTTCACTCCTACCCTATTATTATGTCGTTGAATGGCAGAAATACCCTTGGTAAAAATATAAATCTATCTCTGTAGTTTAAACAGCAGAGATACTCTTGATAACGGCATGGATCTATCTCTGTCGGTTGAATAGAAAAAATGACCTTGATAAAAACATGGATGTAACCGGTTGATTGATTTTGTTCAGTGGCTTATTAACATCTCTATGGGTTATTTAATGCTGAAATTTATATATATATAACTAATATTCAACTAAATATATTTTGCACGCAACTGCATGCCTTTAACTACAGATAAAATATATTGTTGATGATTTTGCTATAAAATGTTTTCTTGATAATTATTTCTTATATACAAATGTATTACTGGTATATTTATACCTTCATAGTGTGTTTTTTTTAATTTTTTTTTTTTTTTTTGTTTGTTTAGGTATTTACTATTTGCCCATAGCCGGGATCCAAAAAAGCGCTACCACCCCAAGTCAGGGTGGACCTGGGAATAACAGCAATTAAATGGTGGTTCCACACTCCTCGAAACCTCCTGATCAGAAGCCTTGCTTACGGATGTAGTTTATCGTTATACCAAGTACTATGGGTTGAATAGTGCAAACGCTTTTGGTAAAAGGCATGAACTCGTCCCTATGTTTTAAATAGCAAGGTAGACTGGGCTCCTTAGACTTGGATGGCAATCATTCTAAGAGATGTAAACCCTGAATTTGAAATGGCTGAAAAGTCAGCGAGAAAGAACTGCAATGTCTTTACCAAAAAATCACAGATCATAAAAAATATATGTCGAGAGACTGAGTCCAGAAGGGGCATGACATTTGAAAATATTTGAGTTCAATCCTTATAGGTTTACTTTATCAGACTAGTATAAGTATAGTAAATACTATTTTGCTCAATCTGGAATAGATTAGTCAACTGAGACTTGTAGTTACGTAGGTTAGTGAATTTGAATATATCAAGAATGTTATATACCAGTTACAGATAAATAGATGCATGTAGAGTTTATGAGGAAGAAAACGAAAGGTCTCGATAGATCGTTAGAAGATTTAATATCTTGCGTGCCTTTTGTTTCATTCAAAGCCACCCACGAAGACTCGATATTGAAGCCGCATATGCAGTGATCGGGCCGCCGCCGCTAGACATGGAAATATTCCGTGATCGGGCGGCGGGGTCGAACCTGAATTAAAGACGGCGATGATGGCTCTCGGAGCGGCGGTTGTCACTCATGTCGGCCGACATGCTTCAGAGCAGAGATCAGGCTTAGGAATTGAGCGGGTTCTGCGAGGACATGGTGCGCGGTTGGCGGGTGTGGTTACAAATTCGATCTGATGTTGGCGTTGAGGAATCGTTTGCGGTGAAGCTGAGATGTGTAGGGGGGACTTTTTGGGCAAATGGATAATCCGCTCTTGGTCTGCTGCCTACCGATTCACAAGACAAACGCCATGAACTCGTTTCTCTGAGCGTTTCATACCCCTGCCTCGCCTTCCAAACCCATATTCTGTTTCCGGTTTTAACATTTTGGTGTTTTATCACAACTACTATGACTGCGTCTATATATTAACGAATTTCTCTCTCTCTCCCTCTCTCTCTCTCTTTCTTTTTCGCTCACTTTCTCGTTCCTCTCCTCCCCTTTCTCTTTCTTCCTCTCTCTCTCTTTCTCTTGCTTTCTCAATTTGTTTTTCTCTCTTTCTCTTTCTCTTTCTTTTCGCTCTCTTACCCTTTCTTTCTCTCCCCTTTCTTTTTCTTTCTTTCTTTCTTTCTTTCTTTCTTTCCCTTTCTTTCTTTTTCTTTCTCACTCTCTTTCTCTCTCTCTTTCTTTTCTGTTCTCGTTCGCTTTCTTCCTGTCTCTCTTTCACTCTCTTTCTTTCTCGCTATCTTTCTTTCTCACTCTCATTTTCTCTCTCTTTCTCTTCTTTTTTTCTTTTTCGCTCTCTTTCTCTTTCTTCGTCTCTCCCTCGTTCTCTTCCTTTCACTCAATCTATCTCTTTCTTTCTCACTCTCTTTTTTTCTCTTTCTCTTTCATGTTCTTTTTCGCTCTTTCTTTTTCTTCCTGTCTCTCTTTCGCTCTCTTTCGATCTCTATTTCTTACTTTTTCACTCTTTCTTCCTTTCTTTCTTTTTCTTCTTCTATCTCTTTCTCTCATTTTCCCTCTTTCTCGTTCTTTCACTTTTTTACTATTTCCCCTCCGTTGTCTTTCTCGCTCTTTTTCTATTACTCTTCAACCTCATTCTCTCTCTCTCTCTTTCTTGAGCTCTCTTTTTTGCTCTCCTCAACACTATGTCTTCCTACCCTTCTCATTGTCTTCTTTCTTTCTTTCTTCTCTTTCTTTCTTCTCTTTCTTGTTTTTTCTCTTTCTGACACTTTTTCCCACTCTTTTTTTATTTCTTGTCCTTTTACTATCACATTTCCTTCTCTTTTTGATCGTCTCTCTCTTTCTTGTTTGATCTCCCTTTTTTTTTGCTCTCCTCCTCATCACTCTAATTTCTCTTTATATATCCCGTACATGACTGTAAATAGAGTACTGCAGCTATATATGGGCAACTTCCCAGTCTTCCCTTCCAGTCTTGAGTGTCTCCAAACGCATCTCCGCGTCGTCGTGTACCATTAATTAGATTCCGTCCTACAAAAAATTTGCCACAGACGTCGCAAGCCTCTCGCTGCTCTATCTCTATTTCCATCTTCAGATGAATTATATTCCTTACTTCCACCAGTTCTAACCCCCCACAAGGCTAAAACCCGCCTTGTTACTTACACTGTAGCGAACCACCAGTATTCCCTTCGTGTTCCATTGGCCTTCAAGTCTAGAGAGAAGCGTTACCTTGCTGAATTATCTCCATAAAAATGTGCTCCGGAAACTGTCTACCACGATTGGTCTTCAGGATTTGCACAGGGCGATCATTATTGTAAAAAAATATTCTTCTCTCTTTCTCTCATTCTTTCGCATTCCTAGATTATTGTTGTAGCATATATATAGTCGACTCTCCCGTCGAATTCGATGTATGAGGGTCAAGCAGATCTGTTCCTAGGAAATCGACAGCCCGACAACAGCACATGGGATTTTTATTATAGTGGTGAAGGTTTTATGCAGGACCATCCACACTTTTTGAAGGGCCGAATACAGAGACCTGGTGCACTACGTGCCACAAGGTCACCAAAAGACCCTCCGCAGGTTTTGAATTCAGAGTTATCCATCTCCTATACCAGTTGCCATCCAAGGCTATAGAACCCAGTCTGTCCTCCTATTTACCCATAGCTGGAGGGAGAAGGAGAGGATTCACACTCTTCCCAAGGGTATTAGCACGTAAGTGAACGTAATGGATTCGACTGGAATTCGAACTCGGCTCTCCGATTCGAAGGTTCTATCCATATATATATATATATATATATATATATATATATATATATATATATATATATATATATATATATATTATATTTAGGTTGCCGTTTTTACTTTTATGCTTTCAGCGTGAGCTGAATTGAATGCCGAATTTTTGAACAATTCTTCCTGCTGTAACCACTTTATTTCAGTTGGAAGAAAGATCCCTGTTTCTCACAATGTCCCCCCTCTCTCTCGGAGAGGATCTCCAGGCGAGGCAATGCCGAAGAGCAGAGCCTCGTCTCGTGAAACAGCTGCCCGACTTCGTTTTATACGTGCTCTACGGGGAATTTTTGCCCGAGCCTACAGGCTCGGATACCTCACATTAAATTCGGCCTTGTGACCGCGTGTGACGGTTTGTAGATATTGCGTGCGTGCTTGTGTGATGCGTACATCCAGCGCATAATTATTCAAGTTAATCTGATTTAAGCGAATAAGATTTAAAAAAAAAAATTAAAGTTGTTTAATCATTAAGTATTTTTATTTTAACTTTCTTCAAACAGAGAATTTTTTCAATTAAAATATTTTAAAGTTAAAAGTCAGATACAAAGAGATCCCGCTTTGCTGCTCCCTCCAGTTGTTTGTAGGGTAATTATTTATATTTCAGCTTTCTTTAAACAGATAATATTTTAAATATTTTTAAAAATATTTTTAAGTTAATCTGAATTTAAAAATATTTTATGTGAATATGATTTACAAATACGAGTTGTGTATGCAGTAAGCATTTTTATTTTAACCATTTTCAAAAAGATAATTTTTTCAATTAAAATATTTTAAAGTTAAAGACAGCCACAAAGAGATCCCGCTTTGCTGTTTCGTCCAGTTGTTTGTAGAGCAATTATTTATATTTCAGCTTTCTTTAAACAAACAATATTTTAAATATTTAAAAAATATTTTTTGGCGTATTTAAAAAATATTTTCAAGTGAATATGATTTAAAATTTTTTTTTAGCATATTAAAAAATATTTTTAATTTAATCTGATTTAAAGTTAAATTTTATCCCGGAAGTTCTATTTCTATTAAATGCTGTAAAACAATCAGTAAATCGTTAAACATGAACTTCTAAACCAGACCAATGATGACACGAACGAATTGAAATATTTAACGGGATCACAATAAAATTAACTTTAATTTCAATGGAACGTTGAAATCAACTTCAGTGTTTTATAACATGAACCGTCTGTGACCCGTTTGGTCACAGGTAGTCTAGAGTAATATATTTCTTGCTGTATGGCAGGGAATACTGGGAAATCTTCGAAAACTCGCGTTCCTGGATTTACTAACAGTATTACTCTTTGTATTATTGTGTAAATACATTTTATTTTATTGGTCAACCTTCTGTGGGTTATTTAAAACTGATGCATATTTAGAAGTGCAAGAAAAATTCTGTTTGTTTTTGAGTGTAAGTATATTGCATTAAAATAGTTTGGAAATAACCATAATTTCTAAAACAAGGTATGGAAGCCTGTAGCTAGAGGTGGGGAGAGAGATTTCTACTTTTCCCAAGGGTATTTACGTATAAGTGAATGTAATAAACTCGACTGGAATTCGAGCTTTGTTCTCCGATTGTCCATTTCGAAGCAACAACGACTAAAAGACAATGGACAAATCCAGTTGCAGGAACCTATACCCGATTGACCATGTCTACAGGGGTGTAACCGTACTCACCACGCTTGCCGGTTGGTGAGGCTAAATGGGTGTGAGGAAGACGTTTAAAGCCGGTTTCGACTCCGCCGGCTCGACCGCTCAGATTTTGAATTCAAAGTTGTCTTTCTCTTCGACAGGATTGCCAGCCAAGTCTATAGGACCCAATCTGTCCTGCTATTTATCCATAGCTAAGTTGAGGGGATAGGGGAAGGATCGATTCACACCTTCCCCTAGGGTATTTATGTGTAACTGAATGTAACGAACTCGACTGGAATTCGATCTCTGTTCTCCGATTGTCCATTTCGAAACAACAACGACTAAAAGACAATGGACAAATCCAGTTGCAGGAACCTATACCCGATTGACCATGTCTACAGGGGTGTAAACGTACTCACTACGCTTGCAAGTTTGTGAGGCTAAATGGGTGTGAGGAAGACGTTTAGACCCGGTTTCAACTCCGCCAACTCGACTGCTCAGGTTTTGAATTCAAAGATGTCCTTCTCCTAGACAGGTTTGCCAGCCAAGGCTATAGGAGCCAGTCTGTTTTGCTATTTACCCATAGCTAACTTGAGGGGGTAGGGGAGGGATCGATACACACCTTCCCAAGGGTATTTACGTGTAACTGAATGTAACGAAATCGGCTGTAATTCGAACCCAGCTCTCCTATTTTTCATACGGATCCGCTCCTCACAGGAGAATCGGAGACTTTGTGGTAACAGATATATGGATCTCCAGAAGGACGAAATATATGAACATTGGGAAACATTCATGGATCTACGGTTTTTCTTTTTTCAGAATATTTGGATTTTGTTCGTCAACCCACTGCTTATCGCATTTTGAAAAAAAAGCAAGTATATCCAAATATTTACTCAAGAATAGTCTTACAAACATCTACTTACATTTCTGGGGGTTAATGAGAAATATCAAGAGAAGTTTGGATAATATAATTGTCCGATATGTGTCAAAGAATAAACAACACAAAGTCGCGTTCAATTTTTCTGGCCAAAATCTAACTTACAAATTTATAAGTCTACTACGCCTCCATACTTTGAATATTGCTGCCACTTCTAGTCTGGTACTTCTGCTATATAGAAATTCTGTTATGGGGTCCTCCCCTTTTTCATATAAGTGGACTCGACCAAAGTGTTACTTGGACCGTTGCCGTTGAATACCCGGAGTCAGTCAGAGTGAGTAGAGATAGTAAGAATACTGAGATTGTGATTGAGTTGGAGGTAGAGTAATAGTGTGAGGTAACCGCTTGTAGAAGTCAGTTAAAGCACGTAGACTCTAAGGAAGTCCTACTTCGAGACTGTATAGCTATTTCCCAAGCGTAGCTTAGATGTGGCACAAGGCCGAAAGTAGGGGGAATCTAGTAAGGATCGAACTCACTTTTCAGTTGTAACTGATCTAGCGAGACAAGCTTGCTAACCATTACACCGCTCCGAGGTGCCCAACTTCGAGACTGTATATATCTATATGTTATTGCTACTAACCGCGTTCCTGGATTTACTAACAGTATTACCCTTTGTATTATTGTGTAAATACATTTTATTTCTTATATTTAATTCTTGCGTTTGTCATTCATTGGAGACCGAATTTCATCTCGGAAACCACAACAGATTCTTCATTAAATCCCCAAAAAATCTGCAATGTTATTTGTTCTGACCTGGCATCTAGGCTTACATTCTCGTCGCCGTAAGATAGCTTCCCTGTGCCTTTTCTATAAATACTTTCATGTTAATTGTTCTGGTGAACTACTGAACAGTTACATGACACATGTCCTACTTTAAGGCATTGGCTTTTAAACGATTTCCTCAAAGATGAAGAAGAGACTCAAGGCGGCAGAGTTGTGGTTCTACAGAAGGATGCTAAGGTTATCATAATAGTAATAATCATATAATAATCATATAATAATAATAGTAACGAAGAAAAGAATACTGAACTGTTACGTAACATCTGTCCTTCTTTACGGCAGCGAATGTTGGGCGATTTCCTCAAAGATGAAGAAGAGACTCAGGGCGACAGAGTTGTGGTTCTACAGAAGGATGCTAAGGATATCATGAACCGAGCGTGTGAGCAACGATGAGATCTTAGAGAGGTTGCAAACAAGGAGGAGGCTTATACTTAATATCAGGAAGAGGTAGCTGAAGTTTCTGGGACAGATGAGGGACCTGAAGAATCTGATACTCATGGGTCGGATAGAGGGAAAGAGAGAAAACGCGTG